CTCTACACATATGAGATATGTTGTCGCCGCGCCCGCGGGCTCTCTCTCACACAGCTTTTCTCTGGGTTGGGCGCGCTCGGTGGTACAAGAGTAGACTACTATTGCGAGGCGACACCCACTCCAGGTAGGCTTGCCGCTCACCGGCCGAACGCAAGCCGTCCCACGCGAAGAACGGGACGCTGATCACCCGCCAGCCGGCCGCCGCGAGGAGGCGCCGCTTGAGGAGCGTGTGCCCGTTGGGTTTGCGCACACCCCGGCCGTCGGGCAGCAGGAAGTGAGTCGGGCCGTCCACCTCGATCGCGATGCGTGAAGAGGGCAGCGCCAGGTCGAGCGAGTAGCCGGTGCGCGGCTCGTCGTACTCCTCCTCGAAGCCGAAACGGACGGCGGCGAGGGCAGCCGCGACGGAGCGCTGCAGCGCCGAGACCCTCACTTGTGTATCGTGCATGGCGTCGCAGCAGAGCCGCCGCTCGGACTCGGAGAGAAGGTGCTGCTGCGCGTCTGCGGCGTGTTCCAAAAAGAGCCAGAGCTGCCACTGGTGCAGCTGACGGCGCTCATCGATGCCATAACCCGACGGACCCTCCCAAAGGGAGCCGCTGACCACGCGCGAGCACTCGGCGAACAGCAGCGCGTGGTACTGGTCTGCCGTCGCAAACGCCCACACCATGTTGGCCAGCGCCTGAGGCGTAAAGCCGGCCAGCCCGCTGCGCACCGCCGCCTCCGCCACCGCCGCGAACAGAGCGTCTGCAGCCACGCCCGCCTTCGCATACGCCCACGCCGTGTTGGCCAGGTTCTGAGGGTTGAAGCCAGCCAGCCCGCCGCGCACCGCCGCCTCCGCCACCGCCGCGTACAGCGCGTCTGCAGCCACGCCCGCCGTCGCATACGCCCACACCGTGTTGGACAGGTTCTGAGGCGTAAAGCCGGCCAGCCCGCCGCGCACCGCCGCCTCCGCCACCGCCTCGTACAGCGCGTCCGCAGCCACGCCCGCCGTCGCATACGCCCACACCGTGTTGGCCAGTTCCTGAGGCTTGAAGCCAGCCAGCCCGCTGCGCACCGCCGCCTCCGCCACCGCCGCGTACAGCGCGTCTGCAGCCACGCCCGCCGTCGCATACGCCCACACCGTGTTGGCCAGTTCCTGAGGCTTGAAGCCAGCCAGCCCGCTGCGCACCGCCGCCTCCGCCACCGCCGCGTACAGCGCGTCTGCAGCCACGCCCGCCGTCACATACGCCCACACCGTGTTGGCCATGTCCTGAGGCGTAAAGCCGGCCAGCCCGCCGCGCACCGCCGCCTCCGCCACCGCCGCGTACAGCGCGTCTGCAGCCACGCCCGCCTTCGCATACGCCCACGCCGTGTTGGACAGGTTCTGAGGCGTAAAGCCGGCCAGCCCGCCGCGCACCGCCGCCTCCGCCACCGCCTCGTAGAGCGCGTCCGCAGCCACGCCCGCCGTCGCATACGCCCACACCGTGTTGGCCATCCACCGCTACGAACAACGGGTGCACCACCCTCGCCTGCAGGCCACACTTTGCAACGCCGTGAGACACGTTGGCCAGCTCGCGTGCTCGGCACGAAGAAACCAGGTCGAGCGTGCGCTGCACCAGCTGCTCAAGCCGCCCCTCGTGCCGCCGCTCGATGCGCTGCTTGCCCAGTTTGTTCCACAGGTTCGCAGCGTGGATGTGGTTCAAGCTCGCGCTGTGGGCAGCAAAGAGCCTGAGCAGCTCGTCGGCGCCGTTGGCATGCGAGATGTGGCCGTTGAGCTGCTTAGCATTGAGCTGACCGCCAGCAGCAGAGCTCTGTCGCTCGTCGCGCGATCCCGCACCGCGCACCGGCGGACTCAACCGGCGGTCGCTGTGCTGAGGCTGCCCCTCGCCCCGGCGGTCGCGCCGGTCATAGTCGCGCCTGGGATCGTGGTACCAATCGTCGCGCCGATCGTGCCAGTCGCGCTCGCGCTCGTCTCTGCACCGGCGGTCGTTGCAGCCGCGCCGCTCGTCGGACCAACGCTCGCGCTGCTCATCGCGCCGTCGCGGCTCATCGCGCCGTCGCGGCTCGTCCCTCCATCGCTGCCTGTCGCTTCCGCAGTCGCGCTGACGAGGCTCGCCGCGCCAGCGACCGTCCTCGCCGAACAGGGTCGCCTGCATGTGCGCAGCTGTGAGCGCTGTCAGAGCGGTGTTTCGACACCGATATCGTTCAGGGAGAACGCTAAAATCCGCTGTTCACACTTCACAGGTAAGTGTAAGCGGAGCAGTTGAGTAGATACAGCCTGCCGGCCGTGTGATGCGAAAGGGTGTGGCTTCTCGACTGCTCGATCAAAAAGAGCGCCTTCGGCACTACTCTCTCGAGGTCTCGCGGATCTTATAAATCAGCCGAACGGCCAAGGGCAACCCCTCAAGACTAACTACTAAAACAAAGACGGGCAAGGGCAAGTACTAGCCCGGTCGAACACTGCCCAAACAAATAAATTCCCCCTTTGAGCTGAGAGGTCAGGTGTGCACTTTTTTTGCTTGGGCGGACCTGATGACGGGGTAGGTAGGGTAGGTCTGGGCCCTCCCGTCGGGGTTTTCCCTCTCTTCAAGCTGGAATTTTCACAGCAGAAAAAGAAATTTTCCGCGGAAATCACGATGTCAACCCTGAGGGCCCAACTTGAGATTTACTGAGTTACCGAGGTAAGGGGAATGATCAGAATGGCAAGGCTGGGAATGCGTTCTCAGAACGTTCAGAACACCGGCCGCTGGGCCCGCCTCCCGGAGCCTCTCTCTCGGTACTAGCAGCAGATAGGCACAGGGACAGTGACGCGGCTCATCAGTCCTCCCTCAGCCCGACCTCGGACGGAAGACTACAAAGGTCGCAGGAATGATCAGAACGGCATCCATCCAGGCGGCACCGGCCCTACGACTCGGACCGTGCCACAGCCCATCCCCCCGGGCAGCCCACCGCCCACCGCCCGGCCCCAGCCGGTCCGACCGCTTCACGCGGCGACGATCGCGCCGCCGGCCGCCGCTGGCAGGGCCGCCGCCTCCGTCGGCGCCAGAACAGGCTCGAGCAGCAGCCACAACTCGTACTCTGCCGACGGCGAGCCGTCGTACATCGACGACTCGAGTGAGAGGTCCGTCGCCGCGCCGTTGTCAACGTCGAACTTGGCGACGAAGTTGACGCGGTCACGCTCGATATAGCGGGTACACATGGTGCGGCGCGCATACTTGAGCACACCGTGGTTGGTGCAGTTGGCGCACGTGCCTGTGGGATAGGGCGCCATAGCGACGCGCGCGCTCCGGGTATTTTTCGGGTATACCTGAGAATTCTCGGGTATACCCGGGTTTTACTCGGCCGGCCACCTGGGTCGGTCCGAGGGTGTTCCAGGAATGATCAGAATGGCGAGGGCCAGAACGTGTTACATGTACTAGTCAGAACGGACCCCAGTTGCCGTTCCCGGCAACTCATCAGCTTGAGAATCGTGCTTTTTTGGGTTAGGGATGAAGGCGAAGGACCGATTACGGTGAAGGACCGCAGGTTAGGGACCGATCGCCGCCGCTCACGCCAGCGGACGGCCGTCGTCAGTGATGTTAGCTACACCACCGTCTACCTCGTGCGACATGCGCTCGCCGGCATCGAGCGAGCAACGTGTTCGACCGACCGGCTTGCTGTGTGGACGGCTTCTTGTGGCTCTCTCGTCGAGAGCGTTTTGCGTCCCGGCGGGTGGGAGAGCATGTGTCGTTTGATGTGTCACTGTGTACGTCATGTCAGTCTTGATAACAAGTACGGTCGATCCGTCAAAGCGATACACTCGTCACGATCACGTTGGACGGCTTGCACGGAGCTCTGTGCCCACAACCAGGAAGAGCCCTACGGCAAGAAGAGCTCGATGGGGAGCGAGAATCGCCAAAGGCGCGCTCAATCGCTCCCAAGCGGGTGGCTCTCGAAAATCGTCGATATCTTCCGAAAAGACTGCTCTTGCCGCAGAGCAGCCGACGCGATGCAGACGGAGGCGCAGAAAGGCTACGAGTACTCAACGAGTTCCGCGACCTACGCAGTCAAACCTGGGGGGAACTGACCGCATCAAGGCGGACTTCCGACACCTCCGTGAGCACCTTTGGCGATTCTCGCTCCCCATCGAGCTCTTCTTGCCGTCGGCTCTTCCTTTGTGCCGGCACAGAGCTCCGTGCAAGCCGTCCAACGTGATCGTGACGAGTGTATCGCTTTGACGGATCGACCGTACTTGTTATCAAGACTGACATGACGTACACAGTGACACATCAAACGACACATGCTCTCCCACCCGCCGGGACGCAAAACGCTCTCGACGAGAGCCACAAGAAGGCGTCCGCACAGCAAGCCGCTCCTCGGAGAGGCGAGCTCGCTCGATGTCGGCGAGCGCATTGCGCACGCTTTGGACGGTGGCGAAGCCAAAAACACAGATGGTGGCCGTCCGCTGGCGTGAGCGGTGGCGATCGGTCCCTAACCTGTCGCTCGCGGTCCCTATAAACCCAAAAGTGGTCCTTCGCGCTTTGGTCCCTCACCAAAAAAGCACGATTCTCAAGTTGGGCCCTCGCCCCCCCGATGAACACACCAGTGAGGGAGGGCGAGACGATCGAGGGGTCCCGTACCATGCGGAATCGACCCTATCCGGTGCTCAAGAATGTGGGGGATGTTGAGGAGGAAGGTTCCGAGAAGAGACTCTCGCAGTGTCGGAGACGCGGAGGTGGTCGGAGCATGCTCAGCGGGGTCGTCCTTCTCTACGCGGCGCACGCTGTCGTGGCGCTGGCGCCTGCTCGGGCTACGGCCACGGCTAGGCACGCCTCCGTCCATGCACAGAGCGAGCCGGCGGCGGCGGCTCGCGAGCCGATCGCCTACTACCGCGACCCGGACGACGCGTACTTTGAGAAGCTCGCGAAGCTGCCTCCGGTCGACGAGGCCGCGGTGGACGCTCTGGTGGCCGAGCGCTCGCGGCTGCGCGCCGCTTTTGAGTACGACGCCGCCGACGCCGTCAAGGCGCAGATCCTGGCGCTCGGCGTCACGGTGGTGGACGTGCGCGGGCAGGAGGCGTGGTACGTCACGCCGCGCCACTCGCGCACGCTCGAGGCGGCCGAGGCGGCCGAGGTGGAGGAGGGGCGGGCGGCGTCGGCGTCGCCGCGGCGGAAAGGCGGGCGCGACCTCGGCCCGCGCGGGCACGACTTCGAGCGGTCGGGCGGCGGGGCCAAGGGCAAGGCGGGGCAGGTCTCGCTAGGGGAGGTGGGCCGGCGGCTTCACGACCCGAGATCCGCTGATCGTATCCGAGATCAGCCGGGATCATTGGAGATAGGTGGACCGGCGGCTCGCGGCGCGTCTCGCCGCCAAGCTGCGCGGCAGGTACTCCGACGCAGACGCGGAGCTCGAGGCGCTCGAGAGTCGCCGAGAGTCGCCGAGAGTTGCGCATTCGGAGCAAGCCGTCGGCCCGACCCTTCCACGGCGTCTCTTCGCGGCGTCCCTTCACGGCGGGGCGTGGTGTGAACAGGCGCTCGAGGCGCTGGGCATACGAGTGTGCGACGCGACCAAGCGGTGGCGCGCGGACGGCGAGGCGTTTGGCAGCGGCTACGAGCGCACAGTCGGCGACGGCGACGAGGACGTGCCGGCGCTCGACTCTAGATGCGGAAGGGGGCGTGGAGCTAGGTATGGGACATGGACACGCCGTGGGACACGTCGTCTAGATGCGGAAGCGGGCGTGTGTCCGTCTTCCGACTGCACGCGAGGCGGCACGTGGTCGGCAGCAGCCGGCCACGTCGCACCCGTGCCTCACTCGCAGCTCTTGTGCTCCCCCGAGCGGCAGTCCCGCACACAGTGGACAGTGTGGTGCACCCCCCTTGCCGCGGTTCCTGCCGCCCCCGTGGAAGGCCGGCCGGTTACGGGCGGCGCCCCCCTCCCCGCCCCCGCCGGGCCCCCCCCCCCCCCCCCGTCCCTCCCTCCCCTGCTTCCTCCGACAGGCGCTCGACACGGCCCCCATCGAGCAGCTGCTGCTTGCGAGGGCGCGCGCCAAGCAGGCGCGCGACTTTGGCAAAGCGGACGCGCTGCGGGGCGAGCATCGAGCAGCGGCCACCCTCCAAAGACGAGACCGGTCGAGCGCGCCGCAAACACACGGGCGCGAATAGGCGAGCTGCGCGCGGCCCACTCGGTGATCGTCGACGACCAGCGGCGCGCGTGGCGGCGGGTGCGGTTGTACGGCGACTATTACCGCGTCGGCCCGCGCGTGGGCAAGGCGGAGCCAAAGATCGGGAAGCTGCTCACCACGCTCTCCCAGGCGGCGAGCGGAGAGAGGGCGGCGCTGCTCGAGGAGCTCGGCGCGATGGGCGTGCAGGTCGACGAGGGGCGCGGGACGTGGCGCCGGCCTCGGCGCACGCCGGAGGAGCTCGCCGCGGCGGCGGCGCTGCGGGGGGAGGCGGAGAGCAAGTAGGCCTGTGTCTGGCTGCTGGCTCGCGGGCGTCGCGAAAAAAAGAAAGAGAACGCGGCCGCCGCGTTAAAGAAAGAAAGAAAACACAAAAACGGGAGGGTTCAAGAACCACTGTCGCAGGGTTATCATAACCCTGCTACGTGCCCGTGAATTTCTCTCGCCCAAGCAAGCCTCCTCTCCCGCTCATATATGCTCCTCTGCCTCACCCCGTGGTGGGCCGTGTTCGCCGCCGCTGCCATCAGCGCGCTCTTCGTCGGCTGCCTCTACGTCGGCGTCCGCGGCGTGCCCAACCGCGACGACCCGGCCGTCATCAAGCAGCGCTTTGTCCGCGTCGGCGTCGCGAGCGCGCTCGCGCTGGTGGTGGTCGGGATCGCGGCCAGCGTACCGGCGCTGCAGCGCAGCGATCCGACCTGCCCCGCTCCCGCCTCCGCGGCGCGCTGGCTCGGTGTCGCGGCGCCGCTCCCGACCGACGCTCTGCTCCTCGCGCTGCTGCTGCCGCCCGCGCTGACGGCGGTGCTCTTCTTCGGCCCTCTGGTGCACTGCTGGCTGGACAACGAGCCGCTCCTCTCCGACCCGCTCCTCCGCGAGAGCGGCGACCCGGCGGGCGGCGCGCGCCTCCGCCGCGCCCGCAACCTGCTGGTCGGCCCTCTTGTCGAGGAGTGGACGTTCCGCGCGTGCTCCTGCCCGCTGCTCTCCTCGGCGGGGTACTCGGACGCGCAGGCGGTGTGGCTGAGCGCCGTCCTCTTCGGCGCGGCGCACATCCACCACCGCTACGACGCAAAGGTGCCCTGGGTCGCCGTGCTGCTGCAGTTCGTCTACACGTCCCTCTTCGGCGCCTACTCGTCGTACCTCTTCCTCCGCACGGGGCTCATCTACGGCCCGCTGCTGGCCCACTCGTTTTGCAACCTGATGGGCCTCCCCTCCTTTGGGCGCGTGCCCGGCCACCGCCACGCCTGGGGGCTCGCCGCCGCCTACCTCGCCGGCATGGCCTCCTTTGTCGGCCTCGTGGTCGCCGACGCGCGCTGTCGCCCGCGGCTGTTCCACTCCATGTTCTGGGCCGAGGCGCCGTGAGCCCGCTGCTCCCACGGGCCGCCTCGGGCTCGGTGGAGAGCAGTCGGAGCTCTGCATTCGTTATCTTTGCGCCCTCAACATGATGTGACATATATTGCGTCGCTCGCTGCGCCTGCGCGCTGCGGTGAGTCTCACCTCTTCAGCCTGGGTGGGGTATCGGGTAAAGCCGTAAAGGGTGTGGATGCTGGGTTGACGGAAATCGGAGGAAGCGACCCACTTCGCCACAGACGGTCCCGCGCCTCGCCGCTATGACGGGGACACACCCCGCACCGTCCGCTGTGTCCCCGTCTTTGTCCGGAGTGAAAAGTCCAACGCGCTCGTCGGTGACGGCTTCCTCCAACCTGCGCCGCGCTCGGCGAACCTCGACAGCGCCTTCGGTGGCATGCACCTCTTTGCGACAGAAGCCTGGAGAGCAGCTCCTCTGCTGCTCACACACTCTGCACAGTTGACACAGCCTACTGTGCGGCTGCCACAGCTGTGACAGCGATGGGCTCGCCCTCACTGGCCCTCAGTCACTTGTGCTGCGGCTTGTGTGAGCGACACTGCTCGGCGACTGCCGGCACACTGTGAGACCATGGGTGTGAGGTAAAACCACGCTACCAGCGCTTGGTCACATCGGCCCCGAGGTCAGATCCATCTACTCTGTTGATGACAAGACTTGTCTACCGGCTGGAGCCGAGCAGGAGGGCCCGGCGCACAACCCCCTGGTCAACTCACCCTCCACACCCCGTATGCGTTCTATCGTTTATTTATCGATTTTAGCCTTCATAAAAACCTGTGCCTCACTAGGAAGGGACGCCACGCCGCCCCAAAAGAATAGTGTTGCGTGGCGGGGCGCTACTTCACGGCCCGGCGCAGCACGAAGACCCACTCGTCGTCGGCGCCCTTCTTGCGCGTGCGCATCACCCGTGTGTCCGCGTCGACGTACGAGTGCCTCCAGACGCCCTCGTAGCCCGACGTCTCGCGCGCCCGCAGCGGCAGCCGCCCCGCCGCCGCCGAGAAGGTGAACGAGCGGAAGGCGACCTCCCACGCCTCGCCGTCTTCGGTCGGCGCGACGGCGGCGCGCAGCTCCGCGCGGAGGCCAAGCGCGCGGCTCTGCACGCGCTGCCTGTGACCGAAGAGGCGGGGAGGGGGGGGCTGAAGCGAGGAGTCGCCGCGCGAAACGCGCGGCTGCTGCCCGCGCTGCCTGTACTCGCCCACGGAGAGGTCGACTAGCTGCGTGACGCGGCCGGTGAGCGGCAGCGCGGCGAGCGGGGAGGGGGGAGGGCCGAGCAGCTTGCGGCGCGCGGTCCGCCTGTCGACATGTCTCGGACACGTCGTGGACGTGCCATGGACATGTCCCAGATTGCGGCGCGCGGTCCGCCTGCGAGGACGCGTCATCGGACGGCCAGGGCGCCCGTCATCGGCATGTCCGAGAGGGTGTGCACTCCTCGGCATGTCCGAGAGGGTGTGCACTCCGACGGTGCACTCCGATCACTCCACGCCGGCGACCCTCTCGGCGAATCTCGGCCGGATCTCGGCCGAATCTCGGCTAATCTCGGATGCCCGTCCGACCACACCACGCCGCCGGCGGGGTTGTTGGTGAAGCACTGGTCCCACTCGCCGTCCAGCAGCGCCGAGCTTGCTGCCCGCGGTGTCGGGTTGCGCGCCTCGAGCTCCGCCAGCACCTAATCTCGGGTGATCTCGGGTGATCTCGGGTGATCTCGGGTGATCTCGGGTGATCTCGGGTGATCTCGGGTGATCTCGGGTGGTGGTGTGTGTGTGTGTGTGTGTGCGCGCGCGCGTGAGTGAGTGTGTGTATGTGTGTGCGTGCGTGTGTGCGTGTGAGTGATAGAGTGGTGAGACTGCCACACCTCGCGAACTTCCTCCAGATCCGCCGCCGTCGCCGCGGCGCCTCCGGCCGTGCGCGCGGCGAGTCGAAAGAGCCGCGCCTTGGCGGGGCCGTCAAGCAACAGCGAGATCACCCGAGATCGCCCGAGATCACCCGAGATCGCCCGAGATTACCCGAGATTACCCGAGATCACCCGAGATCGCCCGAGATTGCGCGAGATCACCCGAGATCACCCGAGATCACCCGAGATCGCCCGAGATCGCCCGAGATTGCGCGAGATCGTCACGCCTTGACGGGGCCGACGGGCAGCAGCGAGCGCAGCGACAGCGCTGTCGGGGCGGCGGCGGAGGGCGGCGCGGCGTCGCCGAAGCGCCGGCGCACGAAGCCGGAGAGGGCGGCGGCGAGGTCGGCCGGGCTCTCCTACTCCCGCGCCTCTCTGGCTCTTTCTTGACGCGTGCTCTTTCTCGACGTGGTTGCGGGGGAGGACGGCGTGCCTATGGACATGTCCCGGACATGTCTCGGACATGTCTCGACGTGGTTGCGGCGGGGAGGAGCGGCTCGCTCTCTCCCACACGAGCACGTTCCAGCCCGGCAAAAGCGACGTCTCGAGTGCTCCCGCCGCCACCGCCGCCGGCATCGCCGCCTCGAGAAGGCGCGCGCAGCGGCAGGTAAGCCGAGGTCCCGCCGGGATAGACCCGAGAGATCCGAGGTGCAGGCGAGGTACAGGCGAGGTACAGGCGAGGCACAGGCGAGGTACAGGCGAGGTACAGGCGAGGTACAGGCGAGGTACAGGTGAGGTACAGGCGAGGTTCCGCCGAGGTTCCGCCGAGGTTCCGCCGAGGTTCCGCCGAGGTTCCGCCGAGGTTCCGCCGAGGTTCCGCCGAGGTTCCGCCGAGGTACAGGCGAGGTTCCGCCGAGATGCGACGCCTCGTAGTCGCGCAGCTTTGCCTCCGGGTCGAGGCCGAGGTCCCTCCCGACCTACAGGGGAGATGTGGGGAGATGTGGGGAGGTGTGGGGAGATGTGGGGAGATGCGGGGAGATGTGGGGAGATGCGGGGAGATGTGGGGAGGTGTGGGGAGGTGTGGGGAGATGCGGGGAGAGGCTGAGGTCTCTCGCGACCTTTCAGAGAGGGAGGGAGGGAGGGGGGGGGGGGGGGGCAACACACGGTGCAGCTTCAAAAACAACCCGGCGTGGAGGGAGACACACACACACACACACACACACACACACACACACACACACACACACACACACACACACACACACACACACACACACACACACACACACACACACACACACACACACACACCCTCCCCCCTGCGAAAAACTGCCCCCCCCTTGGTCGCGCCCCCTCCCCCACACCGCGAAACAACGCAACACCCCGCGAATCGAGGTGCGGTCCACACCTGTGCATGTGCGGGCCACCTCGTGGACACCCCCCCCAAAAAACCCCCAATCAAGGCGCGGTGCGTGCTCCCTCTCCCGCGGGCGGCGCGGGCGGGGTTTGCCCCTCCTCCCCCCTGCCAAAACCTCCCCCTGCGGAATCGGTGGTGGAAAAAAGGGTGAGAAGGGAGGCACCAATGTGTGCTTTGCAAACGTGCCCCCCCCCCCCCCCCCCCGAGAGTGAGTGTGTGTGTGTGTGTGTGTGTGTGTGTGGCCTGAGGCCCCCCCCCCCCC